CCGTGTCTCCAGCTCAGCACACAACCCCTCTCCTTCCCACCACTCACAGTCAGGCTTCAGTGTCACCCTCTGCATCCAGCGCAGTGAGGGGACACGCAGGCCCCGATCACCCTGGTGAGAGGGCGCTGGGGGCGGGCTTCCCCGAGGGGAGTCCGAGTCCGCAGTTTACTGTAAGGAGGGTGACAGACAGGTGTCTGCGGGAAAGCGGCCCGGGCAGAGGCAGCCCGTGCCAAGGCCCTGAGGCAGAAACATGCTCGTGAGTCCGCCCAGACCCAGGGGTCCTCATGGGGACTTCACAGAAGTGGGCCTGCTCTGCTGTTTTAAAAGTGTTTACCTCCGTGTGGTCGGAGCGGAGATCAGCAAGAACCACCGGAGGGAGGTGCCCGGGTGCGGCCTGGGGTGGTGGGACCATGGACCCGAGGCTCCTCCAGGATGGGCATGCCACCTGCTCTGTGCTCCACAGTGGCCTCAGCACCTGGAACAGGGACTGGGGCAGAGCAGGTGCCTCCTCATGTAATTTTCCTAAGTGACCACGAGCTGGGCCGCTCAAAGGATAGAATCCTTTCTCTCCCGATTCTGGAGGCCGGAATCCAAAGTCAGCTCTCAGGACTGAAATGCAGGTGTCCCAGGGCCGAGCCCCCCGCGAGCCTCCAGGGGGGCTTCCTCCTGCCTCCCCCAGCCCCGGGGCTCTACCGGGCCCTCCCCTGCGGGCCTGCCCCCTTCTCTCCTGTCACAGGGACACCTGTGTTTGGACTGAGGCCCACCGTCATCTGGGAGGAGCTCATCCCTCACTGACCCCTGCAGAGACCCTTTTTCCAAACAAGGTCGCATTCACAGGCTCCAGAGGCTGGGATGGGGACATGGGGTGTTTTGGGGGAGTACCATTCAGCCCAGCCCTGTAGGAATCCGTAAATGTTTGTTGAGTGAGTGACAATGGCCTGTACAGCCCCCATTCCCACCCTGGCCTCATCTCCCCCACGGACCCCTCCCCCAGCCTCCCCAGAGGGACACCCTTCTCCACCCCTCCCTCCAGGAGAACCCCACGCCTCCCACCTCCTTCAGGCCTGCACTCCAAAATTGCTCTCTCCATGAGACCCATCTGCTTCAAAAAGCACCCCAACATTTCCCTCCATGACACTGAGCCTGGGGTGCCCTGCCAATGGGGTGTTCATCCACACATGTGAGAAAACGAACAAATGAATGAATGAGTGAGGCCTCAGGAATGAGCTGAGAGTTTACAGAGCAGAGAGAGGGGAGAAAAGCCAAGCTGGGCATCCCAGAAGACCTGGGGCTCGGCTGCCCAAGCAGCTGGGGCGAGGGCAGCCTCAGCACTGGGGTGGAGCAGGGTTGGGAGCTGCCAGGAGCTCAGGAGGGGCAGCAGGGGTCTTGGGGAAAGCCAGCACAGGCAGGGGTGCAGGTGGGCTGGGCTGCAGTGAGGGAGAGGAGGTTGTGAGTGAGGACCCTGGGTGTAGCAGGTGGGGGGAGCTGGAGAGGGCATGGTTTGCCCAGAGCTGGGAGGAAGAGGGACCCTGAGCCCAGTGCCCCAAGGGTCCCACGAGGGGAGCCAGGCAGGGCTCAGTGGATCTTCGGGGGCGGGTGGTGCATCAGGCTGGTGGGAGACAGGCTCAGACCCGGTCTCCAGGGTGGGGAGACCTGGTCAGGGTGGTTCATTGTGGGGTGTGCCAGCACTGCTGGGCCTGGGCCCTCTGCCCCACCTGGGCCCCCAGCCTCACCATTGTCAGGCCCAGGCTGCCCCAAGATGGGCGCAGTGTCCCTATCCAACTGGCTCTTTCCCTCACCCTTGGAGGCTGGTCCTACCTCCTCCAGGCAGCCCCCCAGCCCCCTGCTTGGAATTCTCAGAGCAGTGAGCGTGGGCAGCATGTGGACACCACCCGAGCCCTTGGGGGACTTGCTTTGAGCCTTTTGTGGCCCAGCACCAGGCCGGGAAATACTCGAAAATACTAGAAACAGAAAGAAGGACAGGGTTCAGGGTGGGAGGCCTTCCCCCAACCCAGACAGAGCCCTGAGTCTGCTTGCTGAAAGCTGCCTGGCCCCACCGCCCCTCTACCCACCATGGTGCACCTGCAGACCCAGGGCTTGGGGGGCGGGGCGGGGAGGCGTCCAGCTCAGGCCTCAAGTGTCACCGATGCCAACCTCACCAACTTCTTACAAGCCCGGGGACCCTAAAGCTCAGCAGCTAGAGCAGTGGGGGAAGAGGGGTGCAGGGCTGAGGAGGAGGGGGTTTCTGCTGCAGCCTCCATCTTGGGGGGAGGCTGAACATGTCTGTGTGTGCCACTGGGCAAGCAGGAGACATGAATCCCCATCTCTAGCAACAGCTAGTTTCCAGAACATTTTAGAACCTGGTGGGCCCCCCGCACCCTCCCCCAGGCTGGGAGAGGTCCCTTGGATTGGCAGTGAAGGCACTTCACTTCTTATCAGTGGGTCCTGGAAACCACCCCCCCCCCGGGAGCCCCTCCTGCCACAGGACACCCCATCTTTGAGGATTTGGTGGCTAAGATTATCCCAGAGCCCCTGGCCCCAAGCAGGTGGCCACGGTCGCTGCTGAGAGTGTGCACGCTTTCAGACTGTTCTCACTGGCCATGCGTGCTGTGAGGCAGCAGAGGGGTGCCCGCACCCCCAGGCGCCCCCCTCCTTGACCCCGTAGGCGCGTGAAAGAGCAGAGGACTCAGAACAAGATAAATTTGAATGCTTTATTGGGATTGCGAGCGATAAATGTTAAAGACAAAACCCAAGCAATGAATTTTGCCAGAAATATGAGCATGTTAAAGGGGTCGAGTTGAGGCCCGCACGGCCACTGCCAGATGGACCGCGACAGTGGGTGAGGTGACATTGGGTGCTCGGCACGTGGGGGTTCTTCAGGCGATGGTGGGGGGGACCCAAGAGGGGGTCCCGCTGAAGACAGTTGAGGGGAGAGAAAAGATGGACGGCCACAGCCAGGGCTCGGGAGGTCAGATGGGGGCCCGGGTCGGGATGGCTGGGGACCCTGGGGGAGCTGCTTGCTGGGGGACACAGAGGAGCGTCGGCAGACGGCCCTGGAGCACCCACCCCACGAGAGGCAGAATGTAACACTGGGTGGGATGGGCGTCCGGCAGGATGGGCAGGCAATTTGGGTCGCCTCCAAGTCTTTTTGGATCTCAGGCCAATCTGTCTGGGTCCCAATTACAACAATTTGGCTCTTTTCAGCTCTGTCCAATGTTCCGAATGGCCCATTCCCCGGACGCCTGCCGAAGGACCCTCTGTGCCACTGGTGGGCTGACACGTACCGCCCCCAGGGTCGTGCCAGCCCCGTTACTGGGGCCCAGAAGCCTTGGGCCTCTAGAATGCTAGTCGGGCTGTTGTGCAAGGGGGCTGCGCTGGGGGCAAAAGCGGGGGTGAGGTAAACCTCCCAGCCGCCCGGATCCCTGCCACAGCCCTAGGCGCCGAGATGGTGGCTGATTCGGTACCGCCAGACCCATGGGCCTCGGGGCCCGAGCAACCCCAGCCGATGGACCACTCTCACAGCTCTCCTTGCTCTGTGGGGCCAACACCCTCCTGACCTCCCCTACTCCCCGGCCTCACCCTGCCTGGGCCCCAAGAGGCCCCACGGAGCTCTGAGCCTCCGGGGGGCAAGACAGGGTGCTAAGAAGGTGGGCAAGGTGTCACCGAGGGGTGAGGGGAGGGCTCCCCAAGTGCACGGAAGGCGGCCACCTGCTCCAGCCTGATGGAGCCCCGCTACTCACACACCTGCAGCCCCTTCCCCCCCAGCCAGCCTGGGCCAGCCAGGGGCCCTTTCCTGATGGCCTCCGAGCACCTTCCGGACACCGAGGAGATGCCTCCCCACCCCCTCCTCCACCCCTCAGGACCTCCGGGGACCAGCCACTGTCCCCGAAGGCCAGGCCGGGCAGCGGCCCACTCCTTTCCCTCTGGCTTCTCCGTGGGGTGCAGTGGCCAGCGCCCCACGGAGGCCCCACTCTCAACTCAACCCAAGCGACAGGGACAGATAAAAACAAAAACCAAATCAGGGCGATAAATGGCGGAGAGCAGGACGTGCGGCATGGCCGCGGTGGTGGTGGTGGTGGCTTCGTACATTGCTTTGTCACTGCTCCCCTGTTACGTGGGACGGGGGTAAGTTTAATTTGATGTGAGCGCGCATAAAAAGCTAAGGAGGGATCAAAAAAAAAAAAAGGAAAAAAGCCCCAGGAGAAACCAATTAAAGGGGGGGAATAGATCAATTGGCGTAAATTTGGGCTCCTAATTGGATCTGTAATTCTGCACTTGTGACTCCTGACTCCTCCAAACCTCACGGGACCACTTCCTACTCCAGAGCATCCCCCCACCCAGCCCCCACTGCCCCCCACCCGCCCCTCCAACCGCCAGACTTCCCACACTCCCCACCATCGTTGCTGGCACCCTGGGGGGCCCCCCATTGCTGAGAGGCCCCTAGGAGGCCAGCAAGGATGGTCCCTAGGTGTGCTGGGGGTCCCAGATGTTTCTCAAAGAGCACACCTAGGGGGTCAGGCTCCGCGGTAGGGCACGTCTTGGTCTCTGCTCGGCTACAGCCACCTCCAGTCTGGCCAAACCCGGTCCTCGCTCCACACGATGGTACAGGGCACAGATGCTGGTGGGGCCTGGGGGCATCGGGCTCACACCACGGGGGCCGTGGGGAGCACCCTCTCCCACCCGAGGAGCACGTCCCAGGGGTCAGGAGGGGAGCACGGGACATGAAAACCTCTCCAACGAACAACTTAGAAAAGGGTCTGAGATAGAATGCTGTCTGACCTGGACCATGCTGGGTTCACCCATCTGTGTGCGTGTGTGCGTGCATGGGCATGAGGGTGTGCGTGTGCATGACAGTGTGCGTGTGTGGGAGGGTGTGTGTGCGCGCGTGCGTGAGTGTGTGTGCGTGGGAGGGTGTGCGTGTGCATGGGTGCGAGGGTGTGTGTGTGCATGTTGCGTGTGTCTGCATGTGTGCGTGAGTGTGCATGTGCATATGTGCATAAGGGTGTGTGTGCGTGTGCATGCATGTAAGGGGGTGTCTGCAGGGATACATGTGGGTGTGTGGATGTTTTTTAGGGTGGAAATTGAGATGTAAGATTTTGGGATATGTGGGTTTTGGGAGGATGGATTTTAGGCTGTATGGGGGTTTGTGCCAATTAAAGTTTATTTTCACGAATTTCGGTGTTCATGTTCTGTTCTCCCCTCCTTCGGTCTCACTGGGAACCCCCATCTAGCTCCATGGTGACTTTCGAGGATGGGAAATAGAGCAAGGAATGAGTCTGGGGCTTTGCTGTTCTGAGGATGACCAATTCTCCCCAAACGCGACCAGAGTTTTGCCTGAGGAGGCCAGAGCCGGCAGTGGACCATGACGTGCCTACCTGTAGATTTGGGGTCCCTTCCTTTCTCCTGGAGGCCAGGCGCCCGAGCCCATGGCCAATCTGACTCGAGGTCCCTGGGGAAGAGAAGGAAGGGAGGGGCCTAATTCTTTCATGATGCCAATTGTTTTTAAGCCAATTCATTTTGGGTTTTTTTTTTTTAGCCAATTGATAATTTTAGTTTATTTTGTTTTTGTTTTTAGCTAATTAACGTTCCTGGTGTTTCTAAAAAGCCAATTCATTTTAAGGGGACTGGTGTGTGTGTGTGTGAGAGAGAGAGAGATTTAGGGGTTTGTAGTTTTAGTTTTTTTGATGGTACAATTTGGGGATAATTTGGGGGATATTTAAAGCCAATCGAGTTTGTACACTTTTAGAGATGTTGCTAGGATCTCCTCAGCCCGATGGAGGGGGCCAAGGAGAGAAGAGCCTGACATGGGGAGGTTGGGGCACGGGGGCTGGGGATGGGGGAGCCCGCAGAGGGAACGCGATCCCGAGAGATGTCAGAGGCGGGGCCCGGTGGAACGGCCCCTGGTCAAGAGGAGGGCACTAGGTGGACGGTGCCATCTTGCAGAATTACGCGACATTTTGGCTCACTTCTGATTGCCGGACGCCTCCGGAGAGGCGCCCCCGTGGGCCGCGGGGTCGTGGGTGGGCAGGGCGATCAGGGGACGGTGACGCTTGGCCTCTCTGAACGCCTCGAGCTCCTTGGCGAGCATGCGACCCCGGCGGGCGCGCAGGAGGGCAGGCAGGCCCCTGCGCAGTCGTTGGGCGGACTGCTTCCAGGTGTCATATTGGAAGAACTTGCCCACGGGGTATCTGGGGAAGTTGTCCTGAGGGGGTAAGGGCCAGTCAGGGGGCGCCCAGCTCGCCAGGGGCCTGCGGGGGCTCCGTGCTCACCCTCCGGTGCGTGGCCGGCCACGTCCACAGTCCACGGCACGGGGACCCACGGCACCCAGGCGAGTGCAACCCAGCCATGCCACGTGCCCTGGCCCCTGGCTCCGAGGTGACACCCCCCACACCAAGGCCGGGTCCCCTCTTACCGGAAGCACGGTCGGAGGGGTCGACACGTCCCTCTCGGACTTGGCGGGGGTGGCACAGTAGGTCTCCAGAAGGGCCAGATCACAGCTGCGGAAACAGCATTCCTCCACAATGCCACGGCTGCTGCGGCGACTCGCGCGGCTTGCCGGCCTGCCTGGAAGTCCCACAGGGGGAAGGAGAGCCGCACTTGAGCACCGGCCGCACAGTCCCCTGGAGCCGGCCTCTGGCCGGCGGCTGCCCGGAGCAGGGCAGGGGGGAGAGGAGAAGAACTACCGGGGGGGGGGGGGGGGGGCCCTGCGGGGGCAGCCAGCCTCATGGAGCAAGGGGGAGGCAGTGGGCAGGCGGGGTGCCCAGGAAGGATATAGGAGTGCAAGTGGGGGTGCGTGTGCTCCAGGACCAGCCCCTGGCCTCTTGGTGCCTCCCTGCTCGCGTGGAAGGTGGACACAGCCTCCTGGTCCCACTGCCCAGGGAGGTGAGGAAAATGTGCCGGGGGGGGGGAGCCCGGCTTCGGGGGGCCGCCCACAAGGGGTCCGGCCCCCGCACTGGGGGCACAGGGTCCCATCCAGAAGGCCAGGCTGGGACGCCAGTGGCGTCCCTGAACAGAGCAGGAGCCTGGGCGGCCCGCAGCCCCCGAGACGCCGCAGGCGTGGGAGAGGAAGGGGAAGACGGGAGGGGAGGAGTGAGGACCTGCATGAAACCACGTCCTCCTTTCCTCCCGTCCTCCCCGTCCCTCCGCGGCTCAGGCTCCAAGGTCAGCTGCGAGGAAGAGTCCCGGCCCTCACCTGGGGGGCCGAGGGCAGGCGCCCTGGGGAGCAGGTCCCGCGGGGGGGGGGCCAGCCCTCCCGGCAGGGGACCCACTCCCTGGGCACCAGACCCTACACTTCCTGCCCCCAAACAAGGCGGGCGCGAGAGAGGGCACAGGCGAGGCCAGGGTGGGGAGGGCTTCACAAGCAAGGAGAAGCAGGAGAGCTTTTCAGAGAGGAGCTTTGAGAATCCAAGGCTGGCGTCTGTGGGTAAGCAGAGGCGACAGAGGGGGGTGCTACGGGAGGAGGGCTGGGCCTGACCACGCAGGCGGTGGCCAACTCACCCCAGTCACGTCCCCCCCCCCCCCCACCCCACCCTCAGGGTCAGCCGGGGCCTGTCCCCCACCCCCGTTCCCCCTGTGATCCAGATAAACACTCCCCCCCCATCCTGTAGATGAGGAAACAGGCCCAGCTTTCCGGGAGGCGAGGGCAAGGGCCCACACCCCTGAGGAAGAGGTCACCTCCAACCCGGGGTCCCACAGAGGGACAGGGCAAGGAGAAGCAGAGGTCTCAGGGAAAGTCGGCCAGGGGTTGAAAATCAAGCGAGAAGCAGGAGGAACAACCCAAGAGCCCTCGGGCGGGCAGGTGGGCACCCCACGTTGTGGCCCGCCCCTGGGGTGCACGTCCCCTCCCCCCCTGCTGTTGTGTAGGCAGGCACTCCTCTCTTCCCCCACCCCCACGTGGGGTGTGCGGGCAGACGCTTCTGTTCTTACTGGTCTCCGACCCATTTTATCTAACTTTAAATCAGATAATCCCACTGTCAAAATGTCAGGCACCATGAAAATGTGGGAGGAACTTCAGTGCTCACAGCCCTGCCCGCAAGCAGGTCCCGGGGAGGCAGGGAGGGTGAGTCCTCCTCCCTGCTAGGGCCTACCCCCGCAACCCCATCCAGCCCACCCTGCACCCCCACCCACGCGCCTGCCATGCTCTGGCCCCCACGCAGATCCCACCCTTCCTGGGAGGAGAGTGTTCTACTTTGAGTCATACTGCAGGAAAATCAGGGGTGTGAGCACCACCCGGGCACACAGCAGGTGCCCAATAAATGTGGACACAGTTGTGCTCATGAAGTCTCAGAACAAGAGCGCCTGGGGTCACCACCTTGCAGTGGCTTCCCTCCACCTGGCCCCCCACACCAGGCATCCCGGAGGGTAACCCTGGGTGTCTGGGAAATGGTGCGGAGGACTCCAGCATTTATTGATCACCTGCTGTGTACGCCCTCCCCCTTGCCCCACTGCACGTTGAGCTACTTACTGAAGTAGAAGCCGCGGTCCCCACAGACAAACTGGAGGGTGTCCACCAGCTCCCCGCCGCACAGGGTCTCACTGGGGCGGTAAGCAGCAAAGCAGCACGAGGCCAAGGCCAAGAAGGTCAGCAGCACCAGCATCGGCTTCCCCATCGGGACCCCCATCGGCATCTGGGGGCGGAGAGAAGAGGCCATGAGCCTGCCCGCCCAGGCCACGTCCAGGGCCAGAGGCCGCCCCCCCTCTGACGGAGACACCCTCCTAGCCATCTCCTAATTCCAAGTTCGGTTTAGAGCATGGTGTCCTCCTAAATGTGACCACTTTAATTACAGAAATCACACATGCTCTCACTGCCCAAGGCAGGGTGCATGGTGGCCCCGAGGCTGAGCGGACCTGTGTGAAGCACATCTCTGATCCGTACCAAGTGCCGGTCAGCAATTTCACATGGGGGTGATCCTCCCCATCGTCACCACTGCAGGGGCTCAGCCACACCCAGAGCTGCGGGGGCCAGGGCTGGACACTGAACCTGGCCTCTGTCCTATGAAGTCATGGGGGCGGGGCCAGCACAGGGCAGTGGCCACTCCTCAGACCTCCCAGCATCAGCCAAGATGGCAGACAGCCCCACCCCACCACAGAGCATGTGCATCCCAGAGGACCACCCTCTCCCCACCCCCACCCCTACCCCCCCCCAAGCAGCAGGGGGTCCTGCTGGGCCAGTCCCACCCCTGCCCCCTCCCCCACCCTCCCAGTCTGTGGCTGCGCAAAGCTCAGGTCAAGGATCCGGTGGTTACCGCATGGTGCCAACCACACTCCCAGGGGCCTTGTTCTCCTGAATCGCTCAGTCCTCCACTCCAGTCTGCCCTGGGCACCCCAAAACACAAAGGCTAGAAGCCTCCTCTGCACACTTGGCATCACAGCACCCAGGGCCTCGAGGTCCCTCTGGGATCACCAGACCCTCTCCCCCACGGGGGTACCAAAGCCCACCCTGGGAGCTGGAGAGAACAGGTCAGGCCACCTGGAGGCTAGACACCAGGTCCTCGGAGCCCAACCTGGAAGGACACACCCCCTGCACAGGCTGTGCAGCTGCAGGCCCCGGGCAAGGGTTAACCAGGTCCCTCCAGGGTTGGGGGGCTCAGGAGGGGCCTCAGGCTCTCTTGTAGATACAGCAAACTGCCCTTGCTCCCTCTAGAAAGTGGATTCCCCCCCCACATCCAGGCAGGCAGCCCCAGCCTGCCCTCCGCTGGCCCAGGTACAAACCCCTTCTGGGGCGACAGTCACGGCCCAGGGCCTCTGAGCCCCTGGCACCCTGATGCTACCCAAGCCAGGGGCCGGGCAGCCTGCCCAGAGGTGCCCCTCCCAGGCTCCACACCGGGTGGGCATGGGGGTCCAAGCAGCATGCCCCTTCCCAGCCTGGAGCCCGGCTGCTGCATGGGAGGCCCAGGGAATTTTCTGATGCCAGAAATCATGCAGGAGAGAAGGGGGAATAAGAAGGGAACGCAGTCTCCGCTGAAACTGGGTGAAGAGCAGTGGCCAGATCCACAGAAGGATCTAAAGTGCCACCCTGCTCACCTCCTCCTGCCCTGGCCCCAGCCCCAGCCAGGCTCCCAGGCTGCCCCCGCTGCTGCCCCCTTCCAAATTCTAAGAACAATTTGGCCAGCTAGTGACTGGGCGCCGGCCGAGCGGCAGCTGCGTCCTTCTGCAAGCCCGGCCACTCCAGTGCGGGGGTCCGGTCCAGAGCACCCGCGGAGAGCAGACGCCCGAGGAGGAGAGGCACGAGGCAGGCAGAGGTGTGGGCCAGGTAAGCAAGCCCCGGAGGAGGGAGAGGAGGAGGGAGGGTAGGGGTGAGGAGGGTAGAGGCAGAGAGGAGAGGTGGAGGGGCTGAGGCCCGAGGCCATCAGCAGGCGGGCAGGGCAGGCCGGAGCGGGAGGGCAGAGGGGTCCTCGCTCGACAGCCTTGGTTACCTGCAGCTGGACAGGAGGCTTGCTGGGACTGGTGGAGGAGGAGGAAGCGGAGGAGGAGGAGGAGGAGGCTGGAAGGCTGCCTCACAGGAGAAGCTAATGTCCAGTTTGCAGGCTGGTCAGTGCTCCAGCTTTTATGTCTGAGCCGGCTCCTCCCAGCCCGGGCTCCACCCTACCCCCCACCCCTCTCCCTGCTGACCACTCCCCCCGCCCCCTTTGCTCCCGCCCCCTCCGTCCTCCCAGCCAGTCCCTTCTCTCCTGCACCCCCAACAGCTAGCCCTGGACCATCCCTCCGCGAAGTATCGCAGGGTGGGGGTGGGGGCTCACCCTGCACCCCCAGCCCATCTAGGCACAAGGCAATGTGGGGGGGGGAGGGGAAGGAGGGGGGGCTGCTTTACACCTCCTTGTATGGAAAGTTCCATCTGCCCACTGGGCAGGGGCAGTTACCCTCTATGGGCTGTACGCTCCTGCTCATCTGAGCTTCCAACCGGCCCCTCTCCCCAGATTCCTGGGTGGAAATGTTGGGGACAGGGAAAGGGGGGGGCGTGTGGGGGGGGGTCAACTGCAAATGTGGCGCCTCGTCTGAGCCTTTTGCCAGCTCGCCCCCTCTTCCATCCTGGCCCCGCCCACCCCGTTTTCCTCCTTCAGTCTTGCTGGCACGGAGTCAACATACCAGGGTGGGTTTCTGAGCCTTGCGCCCCTCCTCATTACCCAACACCCTGGGGGACAGCGCCCTCCCCCACACGGCACGGATCGCAGACTGTCAGCAACACCCCCCAGCACCCACAAACCGACCAGGAAGTCGCCTTTGCAGACAGCTCACACCTCCCCAGCACTTCCCGAAGCCCCTACCCACCCACCCCCACTTCGGCGGCGCAGGGAAGAGCGCGGGCTTCGCCACAGGGAGCCGGACCCCCAGACCCCCACCCCGGGCCTGCCCGGGCCCCTCTCCCCGCCCGGCCGGCCCGCACGCCGCTTACCTGGAAGCCGGCGCAGCTGCCGCCCACCTCCCTGCTGCGTATCGCAAACCGAACAGCGGGCGTTGGCCCTCCTGCCGGACACTCCTCTGCCAGCGCCGCTCTGGCCGAGTCGCGGGGGCCGAATGTGCGACGGGGCAGAACGGGGGGATGGCTTTTTTTTGGGGGGGGGGACTCGTCTGATTGTTTGGGGAGGGCGGGCTGTCTGCGGGCTGGGGCGGGCCAGATGTTGTACTTTTAGGGGGGGAAAGGGTATCGGGAAATGAGGTCAGCTGTTGTATCAAGGATAGAGGGGGGCAGAGATAGTGAGAGACACAGAGAGAACGTGAAAAGGGGGGGGCCAAAGAGAGGGCGAGAGGGAGAGAGGACAGCGAGAGGCGGGCAGGCTCGCAGCGGGGGAGAACAGCGCAGAGAGAAACAGAAAGCGTATAATTAATCCACTTCGGGACGGCGAGGCGAGAGGGCGGGCGTGGAGGGGGAGGCAGTCGGAGGCGAGGAGCTGGGGGGGACGGGAGGGAGCGAAGGGCAGGCTGCGGGAGAGCAGAGAGCGGGCGCCGGGACCAGAGGCTAGAGAGGGGACGGGGGAGCACAGAGAAGCGAGGGCAGGGCGCAACGTCGAGGGCCGGGGAAGGTGCTGAGGGGGGCGGAGTGGAGGATCGCCCGGGCCGCGGGCGCCCAGCTCGGATTGGGCCGACGGAGCCCTCTGCCGTCGCGAGCCCGGGCCCTGGGTGGGGGGGTTGGCGGTGGCGGTGGCGGCGCCGAGCCGCTCGGGACGCGGCGAGGAGGGAAGCGGTGGGCCGCGCGCCGGGGAGGGCTGGGGGCAGCGCGGGGGATGACAACGCCGGCGGCCTGCGAGCCGGACTGCCTGCGGGGGGGACCGCCTCCTCGGGCGAAGCGGGGAGGGCGTTGAGGTAGATGGAAGAGGAGGCGGCGGGGATCCGCAGGCCCGGCGGAGCGCGGCCCCGCCGACGGCGCCCAAGGCGGGAGTCAGCAGCGTGGCAGCGGGCGGCGACGATGCGGGACCGCCGGCCGGATGGAGGCGCTGGCGGGCCGAGCGCGGGCGGGCGTGGGCCAGGAGGCGGGGGCGGCCGGAAGGGGGGGGCCGGGGGCCGGCCTGGCCTCACGCAGCTCCGCCGGAGAGCAGGCGAACTGCGGGCGCCAACGCCCGACTCTTATAGCCGCGCCACCCCGCGGCGCGGCGCCCGCTCGGGCCCCGCTGGCCCCGCGCCCGCGCCAATGGGCGCCCTCGGGGCGCTGGCCCCGCCCTCCGGACCGCCCCTGCAGCTCGAGCAAGGGAGGGCGAGGGGCTGGGGGGCCCCGGGTCCGGGGGCGACGGGGGGGGGGGGGCTGTGGGGTGCTCGCGGCGAGATTGGGTTGGGGGCGGGGAGCGGCAGAATGCGAAAGAAATCCCGAGTCTCCGTTCTAAAGTGTTGGGGGGGCTCCCCCTTTCGGGTTCCGGGGAACCAGGGGTTTCTAGGCTCGCGCACGCTGGGGGCGCGAAGCGAGAAAGGTGGGCGGTGTCCCAGGCCCTAGCGCCTCCGCGGGGCTACGCGGCGGGGGCGCCGGATCAAGAGTGAGGGCGCAGGTGGTTCGGCGCCGGGTCGGGGGTCCCCTAGTCCCGCGGCGAGCTGTAGGGGAAGGAGGAACCTCCGGTCCCGGGCAGGGCGCGCAGCCGCCACCTGCCCGAGCAGGCGCGGCGCCTGAAGTCGCGGCAGCCGGAGCCTGAGCGCCCCCCGGTGCCGCGCGGGAGCCGGGGTATAGCTGCGGCGGCCGCCAGGTGCGGTTCCTGGGGAGGGCCGGCCCGGCCAGGCCCAAATGGGAGCCAGACGTGGGGCCTGCCGCGGCTGCGCCTGGCCGGGGAGGGAAGAGCAGGGCGGGAAACAGCGCTGAAATCCTACCTGCATGACCGAACTCACCGGGGTTCGTCTAAGCAGCTCGCCTTTGGGGCCCACCCAAAATATCCGGATAATGATTCCCCTGTTCTCAGTGCGTTGGACTTGCGTAGAGTCGGGTTCAGCCCCGGGGGCCACCACGATAATTTGGGGGTCTGGGGAAACCATCTCCTGGAGAGTTTGGACGACGTAAAGAAGTCGTGATTTTTACCAAGTCAAAACCACGCACAAGCCCCGGCGCCCCGCCTGCCCCTCGGCGCCCCGGCCACCCGCGCCTCTCCGAGGGGAAGGGGACGCCGCCGGCGGAAGCCCGCGCCGGCTCGCCCCCTCGCTCCGCCATCAATCACTTCGCCCGCGCTCGGCGCGCGCCTCCCCAAGTACCCTGCCCGGCGGACTTGGAGGCGCCGCACCGCCCAAACGGGGTGCGCCTCTCCTCGGCGTCCCTCCGACCCAGCGCCCGGCCCTCCCCGCTTTGGGGCCACCGAGGCACCTTCCCCACTACTGTGATCTTTGCAAAGAGCAAACGAAAGCGGCGCAGGTTTCGGGGCGCCAGGTCCCAGCGAGCGCGGCCGCCGAGCCGCAAGCCCTCAACAGGCTCCTGCGCCCCGTTCTGGTGTCCCCGGCGGCCGCCCGAGGCGAGCGCCGGCCCCGGCGGGTCGGTGGCGGGGCGGGCGGGGAAGCCGGCCGGGGCCGCGGAGGCAGCGGGGAGCTCACCGCAAAGCTGGAGGCTGGAGGCTGGAAGCTGCGTCCGCGGGCGCACGAGGAGCCAAGGCAGCGAGCGAGCTCTCTGCGGCGGCGGTGGACGCTGCTGAAGGTGAGCGAGACCCCGGGGGCAGTCCCCAGTGTCCGGGGGCAACGCCCAGTCCGTTGGAAGACCCGGGGACAATGCCCAAATTTGGGGGAAACTGGGGGCAATGCCCAGTCGTTTTCCTGGACGCGGGAGCAGCACTGCCCACGTCCTGGCGGACACGCTGCCGGGCCAAGTGTGTTGGGGAATAGAGAGAGAAATTTCCCAAATCCGAGGAGCTCGGGGGTCTTCGTAGGAGATGAAGAGAGGCTGAAACCAGTACCCACCGCGCGCGGGGTTGGAAAAAGTGCAGAGGGCTGCCGGCGGGCCAGGAACAATGCCCAAAAGTCGGGAACGCAAGTCAGAGCTCTGTCTGGTTTGTGGCTCAGAGCACTAGTGTCCCGAGGCAGGAGACCCGAGGGAGGCCCCGTTGGTGTGGGGAACTGTAATCAGTGACAACATTTGAGACTCAGGATCCAGGGTCCAAGTTTGAAGGATCAGGGGACATTGCTCAGTGCAAAGGGTGGGGGCTGGGGAGGGAACAAGAAATTCGATTCTAAAATATGGGGGACCCAGCATCTTGGTCAACAAGCTTAGGGGAACCCCAGGCCAATTTGTGGGAGATAGGTTTTGGGTGACTCTGAGAAAATTCTCAGCATGAAACGTGGAGGGGGGGGGAACCTCAGAGGCACATTATCTGAAACTGGGAGAAGAGAAACACTGAACCCATTTTGGGTACTAGGGGAAATTTCAGTGTGGTGGAGGGAAGTAGAGATTTACTTCCACAATTTAAAAATGCAAAATTAGTGGCCTGGAAGTGGGTGCTGGCAAGGAAGTAACCTCCTTAATTGTCATGGTCTGGGGTCAATTCACAGTGTCCTTTAGAGACTCAAGAAACACTGTCTAAACTTGGGGGAACCTGGGGTGTGATCAGTATATTTGGGAAATGCAGAAACATCCATGTCTGCTTATATTTTAATTTTTAATTGGTTTCAATTAGTTTATTTTTGGTGAGCAGGAAAAATATCCTGTTTGCTTGGTCACTGTCTGCATTTGGGGAACCCTAGCAAAACATGTCCCAAGTTTTGGGGATCCCTGGGAATTGTCCAATGGAGGCAGATGTCTAAACCTCAGGGACCACTGGTAATAGCCTGGAAGCTTGTAGGACACAGGCCCATAAGACCTAGGGTTTCTAGGATATTTTTTGATCCCTGGACATTTTCATCTGGGGGGGCATGGAAAGTTGCCTGAATTTAGGGGGACTTGGAGAGCAAGGGTCATAAAATCAGGTGACTCAAAAATCAATGTTCAAAAAAAGCTCAGTTGTTTTGTGGAGGGGGAGGTCCCAATTTGTTTTGGAGGGCTGGGAGACATGTCTCAATTTGGAGGCCCCAGCAAACTAATTTTTGAATCTGGAGATCCAGGGAAGTTGCTCAGAGTCCTCAGGAAAACTGGGGGTCAATATCTAAGTTTTAGGGAAAAAGGATTAAGAGTTCGTACGTAGGTTGCGAGGCCTGGAGAATCAGTGTCCAAAATTGGTGATCTACAGGGAGCTTGCGGTGTGTGAGAGACCCAGGAAATGTTGCTTACATTTTGGGTGACTTTGTGGGTATGCAGAATGCTCTGGAGTCCAAGAAATCAGTGTCTTTCTGTGATCCGAGTGTAGTACTGACTGTTTTCAGGCCTGGACGGCAATGCGTGATATTTGAGAGAGCCCAGCATGTTCAAATATAAAGGATCAGGAAAAGGGTCCAGTGTCATCCTGGGGTTTGAGATCACTGCTTGAATTTCAGAAAATCTGGATTTTTGTCAGTAAGCCAGTGGGACACAGGGAATGTTTTAATACTCAAAATGTTATGGTGAAGAGAACATGTTCCCAATATTTGGTTACTGGGGACACCCAACAGAGCCCGATACAAGGAGACATAGGCTTTGTGCAAAGGGTTTGTTTCCTGCGTGGAGTGCCCAGGGGAATCTGCCCAACCCACAGGGCCACAAGGAAGCACATCTCCAGTAATTGCTCAGTGTGCTTTCCAGGGCTGGGTGACAGCGTCTAATCCGTAAGGGACCTGATTAGTGGCCAGGAAGCTTGGAGAGTCCTGTAAACGAACGTGCCGAATTTTCATGCCCCCCCCCAACAAAAAATATTGCTCAATGAGATCTGGGGGTCAGAAATCATCCTCCCAACTTTGTGGAAGTCAGGAAACCAGAGCGCAGGCTATTTAGGATTGAGAAAAGGGCCTGGTGTGCGCTGGGTGCAATGCCTCAATTTTAGGAAAGGAATAGGAAGCCACGTTCAAACTCTGAGGGTTCTGGGAAAATTGCTTCGTGCATTGGGGGGACCTGGGAATCTTTGTGTAAAATTTAGGGAACCCGGGCTGATGCCGATAAATTTGTGGAACCCCGCAGCAGCCTCCTAAACTGTGGTGAGCCCGGGGAAACAGGGATTCAGTGTGGGGGAGCCAGAACAGGGACAAGTATACTAGCTTGGGAGACCCTGCAGCTAAGGTCCAAAATTATGGAGGCACAGGGAAAAAGCTCCACTTGTTTTGGAGAGACGGCGCCTGAGTGCCAGAAAAACACTGTCCTCCTTCTGGGGAGCCAGGCAAATTGGTCAGCGTGACCACAGGACCCGGGGTTAACGTTGAAATTGTAGGGGATCCTGGGTTGGCGGTGTGTAAACCGCTGGGGTCTGGAGTATGGTATATACGGCTGTTAAGAGCCTGCCCAATGAGTCTGGGGTTCCAGGCCACTAGGTGAATCTGGGGAAGCCAGCGGGGGCCTTGCTTTTCTCGAGGTCCCCGGAAATTGATGTCCAAGAAAATTCTTGTGGCCTGGG